TTCAGGCAGTTAGGCTCTATTTGCAAATCTCATGCACTATTTTTGCAAAACTCTAAACACATTCTCATTCACTTAAACACGTATCACAATGTGATGCATTTGTGCTGAAAAATGCTAAACACAAGCGGCAAAAGTTAAACACAACTAAAGCACAGTTGTTAATGTTTACACACAACGATTCAAAATTGTTCACACTTGTTTCTAATGATGTGATCAAACCAACTGTACAAAATATGAGCCAGTTCAGAGTGCACAAGTGACACAAAATAATGTTCTTTTTAGCAGCATCATATGACCCCTTTAAGGTCAAACAATTATTGACAGACCTCCTGCAGTACCATAGACTACCACTATGAAGAGGCTAGGTTAAGGATCCAACTTTATGATTACAGTTTTTCTGAATTGCTAAAACACTAAACCCCAATCTCTGAAGCAAATTCTCACTAGCTTTGTGAGACAATTTGTCGAATAAAGCACTCTTTCTGCTAAACCTTAAACACGTTCAGGCAGTTAGGCTCTATTTGCAAACCTCATGCACTCTTTTTGCAAAACTCTAAACACATTCTCTTTCACTTAAACACTTATCACACTGATGCATTTGTGCTGCAAAATACTAAACACAAGCGGCAAAAGTTAAACACAACTAAAGCACAGTTGTCATCGTTTACACACAACGATTCAAAATTGTTGTATTTGAGTGTACTGTAACATGCTATTCATTTAGAGTTTTATTTGACCTTTTTGGCCTTTGCAGTTTGGATTCTTGCAGTACGCCTATACAATATATTCACCTTACTCAGTTGCAATTACTATACTTTTTTACAGAATTGCAAAATTGTTTACTCAATACAATATACTTTTTTCTGTAATGTTCTGTATGCTGTGTTCTCCATTTTTCTCTGTAGTGTCTAATGTGATGTGACATGTGGCAAAGTATGGTTACCCATACTCGGAATTAGTGCTCTGCATTTATCCCATCCAAAGTGCACACACACAGCAGTGAACACACACACGGAGCAGTGGGCAGCCATTTATGCTGCAGCGCCCGGGGAGCAGTTGGGGGTTCAGTGCCTTGCTCAAGGGCACCTCAGTCGTGGTATTGAAGGTGGGAGAGAGAGCGCTGTACATTCACTCCCCCACCTACAATCCCTGCCGGTACGAGACTCGAACCCACAACCTTTTGGGTTACGAGTCCAACTCTCTAACCATTAGGCCACAACTTCCCCTAATGAAAGCTCTGTAGTGTTTATTTTATTGACTCATGTGTGTGTGATCTGAGAGCACTGTTTGATTTTGAGTACAGGTGAAATGCTTTTGCAGTGATTGTTTGATTTTGATGGAAGAGTCAGAGGTTTCGTGAATTTAGTTTAAATATTTGTATTTGTGTTTTTGGTTTTGAGAAAATGAGTGATGGTTTCAAGAAATGTGTTTTAGTAATTCAGAAAAACTGTATAACATAAAACAACATTAACAACCTATTTTACTGCTGTAATGTTACATATTTTCAAATTAAACAAAATATTCAGTGAGGATGTTTTTAAAGAAATATTGAATTCATTGATTTGCGAATATTGAGCATTAATTGGTTAGCATAAAATCAGTTATATAGCGCTACTTTCCTAGTACATGATCACAAAGGCAAACAAACATACCTTGGAAGAATGTGAGTTTATGAATCTTTCATAAGAATACCAGGAACATGTACACTACCATTCAAAAGTGTGTCAGTATGATTTTTTTTTTCTTTTAAAGAAATTAATATTTTTATTCAGCAAGGATGCATTAAATATCTCAAAAGTGACTTTTACATTGTTACAAAATATTTGAATAAATTTCAATTAAATGCTGTTCATTTGAACTTTCTATTCATCAAAGAATCCTGAAAAAAAAAGCGTATCACAGTTTTCTAAAAAAAAAAAAACAGCAAATCAACATATTACAATGATTTCTGAAGGATCATGTGACACTGAAGAAAATTCAGCTTTGCCATCACAGGAACAAATTACATTTTAAAATGTTTTAAAATAGAAAATTATTTTAAATTGTAATAATGTTTTACAATATTACTGTTTTTACTGTATTTTTGATCAAATACATTTAAAATTTAATTTATGCATTTAGCAGACACTTTTATCCAAAGCAACTTACAGTGCATTCAGGTTATTATTTTTTTTATCAGTATGTGTGTTCCCTGGGAATTGAACCCACAACCTTTGCGCTGCTAACACAATGCTCTACCACTGAACCACAGGAACATTACAGAACAAATGTAGCCTTGGTGAGTGTAAGAGACTTATTCCAAAAACATTACAAAATCTTTCTGACCCCAAACTTTTGACCAGTAGTATAAATAGTGTAAATGTTGATGTCATGGTGACTAATATATGTATTATGAGTAAAAAAAAAATGTTTTCATTCCTACTATTGGGTGCCTCAAGCATTTTGATCTCCTGCATTAATGCATTGCATGGTGCTTGTGAATGTAGTTGTGGTGCTCTAGATGTAAGAGGTCTTAAGTCTTGCAATTCCATTGACATAAACCCTTGTTGTGTGTCGGGAGGAGGCGTCGGGTCCTTTTCTCCAGCGCAGTTGTTCTACAAGACTCATTGAAGCCATGGCCTTGAGAGGTAAAACACTGCAGCTACAAAGGGTTACGGCCTTTGATCTGTGACAACTGGAGAAAGAGGGATATGAGGACCAGAGAAAAGGACTGTGGGAGGAGGGCGTCCCTTACTAGGACCAGAATAGTGTGTGTGTGTGTGTGTGTGTGTGTGTGTGTGTGTGTGTGTGTGTGTGTGTGTGTGTGTGTGTGTGTGTGTG